GACGGGTAACGTAAGAGTAATATGTAAGAGTAAATGTAAGAAGAAATGGCACGCAGATCTGCGTGCCCTACGAATGAATCATACTGGATCGTTGGAGTTGGGCAAGTCCGAGAGGAACCTTCCGTTCACGATCCCGATTCTCGGGATGATCGAATCGGGACGTGACCGGGAATGCCCGACCTACGGGTGTGTAGGTTACGGCATATAGAACATGCCTACTACATAGCAACTTAAGTTCAACTTATCGCCCGTCCTGAGATGGGTCATCCTTGCCACCACCGACCGCCACGATTGCCGATGTTTGTTGCTGCGTATGGACAAGGTTATAAAAGATCCCCTTCCGATCCATCAGTTCTTCGTGTGTCCCGACCTCCGCAACCTTACCGTCATCCAATACAATTAGCCGATCCGCGTTGTACAGGGTGGAGAGCCTGTGTGCAATTGCAAAGGTTGTTCGCCCTTTGACTAACCGGGCGATGGCTGCTTGAATCTTTTTCTCCGTGGCACTGTCAAGCGAAGAGGTCGCTTCGTCGAGGATCAGGATCTTCGGGTCGTGCAAAACCGCCCGTGCGATGGCGATTCGTTGCTTTTCGCCGCCGGAGAGTTGCCCCCCGCGCTCACCCACCTTCGTGTCATACCCGTCCGGTTTGATGGAGATGAATTCATGCGCTTCTGCTGCAATCGCTGCGTTGACGATCTCATCCAAGGTCGCTCCCGGCTTACCGTAACCGATATTTTCGGCGATTGTGCCGTCGAAGAGGAAAATATCTTGATGGACCATGCCGATATGGCGGCGTAGATCTTCCAAACGAATCTTCCGTATATCCACGCCATCGATATTTATGCTGCCGCGATTCACATCGTAGAACCGACAAATCAGGTTGATCATGGTGCTTTTTCCCACCCCAGATTTGCCCACCAATCCGATCATCTCGCCCGGTTTCACATCAAGGTTAATCTCGTTGAGAACTGGTTTGCCCGGATCATAGCCGAATGTGACATCCTTGAAAGCCACCCGCCCTTCCATTTGGGGCATGGGGGTCGCCTCTGGATCCTCAGATAACTCAGACCGTGTATCAAGAATCTCGAAAATCCGTTCGGCACCGGCGAATGCACGGGTTATAAAGTTATTGATTTGACTGAAGAACTGCAAAGGGCGATAGAGTTGCCAGAGATAACGAGTAAATGCCAAGAGTATGCCGTATGTTAGCTCCTCGCGTAAAATCTGCATTCCGCCAAAGTACCAGATGAAGAACATCCCGAAACCGAGGAGGAAATTCATCACAGCGAAAAAGATGTGCCAGTTTCGTTCACCGGTAACACTCACAGCCCACAGTTCCTCGTTCCGCGTATTGAAGCGCATCGCCTCTCGGTCTTCCTGCGCGAAGGCTTTTACGACACGGATGCCGGAGATAGACTCATTGAGATGCGAAGATAGCCGTGACCATTTAGCATGCCAACGGGGCCAGATACGCCGCATGCGTCCCCAGATCAGCACACCTCCCGAACACAATGAACGGCACCGGGATTAGCGCGTAGATGGTTAATCTCCAACTCAGGGAGAGACACACTACGAGCGTACCTATCAACATCAGTGCATTACTCAACATGAAGGGTATGCCGAAAAGCAAAAACATCTCCAACCGATCTGCATCGTTGGTAAATCTGGATATTAGGCTAGCCTACCTGTCGCTTGCCGTAGAATCGCAGCGGCATATACTGCACGTGCTGAAAGAGCTGCGCCCGGATATCTTTACTGGTTTCGCTGGAAATATCGGCTCTCATGAAGCCACCGATAATCTCAAACAGGAGAGTTGACAGCATGATGCCTAAAAAGCCCAGTACGGGCAGATATCAGCATTCCAAAGCCTTCTCTCAGTGTGAGAACAGTGCCTGCCAGCGGTGTGAGAACATCGTCGATCATATATAGAACAATAAGCGGCGGAATTAGGTTGAGTAAAGGGCTTGCCACCGCAAAGGTCATGAGGATGATGACCTTGCCCCTGTACGGAGCCAAGTAACTAATAATTCGCTTCAGTGTATCCCATTTTTTCACGCAAGCCGGGCAGATACCGTCTTTCTCCGGCAGCAACCGTCCGCACGAGTCACACCGAGAGCGTTCCATCTCCGTCGGTAGCGTAGGGGCTTCCCCCTTGGTGAGTTGCTTGATAGCTTCAGCGACCTCAGCAAACTTGGGGATCAACGAGTTGGAGTAGTATAGGTAGGTGGGTTCACCCTCTCCGTGTTCCACCTCCAGACGACCGGCACCGACCAACTCCTCGATCTTCGTTTCTGTGATGACTTTGAGCGGCACCTCCACATGCCATCGGTTCCCTCTGTAGGGATAACGAGCAAGCGTTCGTCGGTTACCACGAGCCACTGTTCGCCAAAAGAACCGTCGTCAATTAGATCGGTAGCAACTTGAATGTGCGCTTCTTCTTCCGGAGGTTTTATATTTTGAAGCTTGGTGTCTATCTCAGGAGGCAGTGTTTCGAGAAACGGTTTCATCCTTGTATGCAGTCTCCCCTAGGGGTGAAAGGTGCTGTGCAGCTCGTGGAAAGTTGCATCCCAATTCTTCACATCTAAAGATAATCGAGAAAGCCGAGCTCCCGCTCCCGATCAATCCAGCGCTGGCGTTTTTCGCTGCCTTCATGATTGGCAGCCCAGTGGCTCATGATGTTGTGGTGGGTCGAAAATGGCAGCCCAGAATTATTCGGTTCTTTCACACTGCTGGAGGCTCGCTTGCGAGTTGCGGCTTCCTCTTCGGGACCTTCAGGATTCTTATAGTAAACCACTGTACACATCCGGCGATCAACCGCACCACCCCAACTCGCATGCCAACAACGCGCGTCAAAGGCAACCACATCGCCCGGCTCCGATTCACAGATGTAAGCCGGGACATCGCAAATCTCAAGCTGGTAGCTGTCTAGATTATTTCGCAGCGAGCTGTGTAGCGGATTCTTGTGGGATCCTGGAATTAGCCGCAATGCGCCGGTGTCTGCCCCGACCGGTTCAAGGTAGTAAGCAAATTTGACACCGTAGCAATCTTCAGTCGGATCTACAAGGTGGTCGGGATGCCAGCGCGTATGACCAACATAGCGATTGGCATCGGAAACGATGCCGAGGGCATCTTCACCATACAGTTGCTCTGTCGATTCACAAAAGCGCGGATCCTCAAGTAACCCGGCGAAGAATGGGGTCTCAGGTCCCATTGTCCGTACCCAATGCCTGTATGTGCCATCAAACGGATCGTGACGGTAGGCGGAGGTTAAAGCGTGTTCAAACTCGGCGTTGATGGTTTTCATCTCCTCCGGGCTGAACAACTGCCGGAAGATTAGGAATCCGAAGGTGTTGAAGTGATTCACCTGTTGTTCTGTAAGCATCGTATATCTCCTGTGTCGAGGGATTTGGGCTACTGTTCAGATCCGAAACGATGCGCGATCCACCTACCCCTGAACGCTTGCGGTTTTCTGTCCACGATGCGCGCTGCAACATCTATCAACCCGTCGGTTCAGGTTGGGGCGCGTCCAGATAGCCCAATTCCCCCATCCGATCTATCCAGTGCTGACGCTTAGGGATCTTTCGAGGATTTTCGAGCCAGTGTGGATGGTATTCTGGTCCAGGCGTATCAAAGGTATTCCGAGCGAGAGTCGCCCGGAGTTGGACATTTGCCGCCGCCGCTTTTCGGGCCGCTTCCTCCTCTTCAGGAGTGTGGGGATTCTTGTCGAAGATAATAGAGGCCATCCGTCGATCTGTCGAACCACCCCAACTAGCATGCCAGAGATGAAAGTCGAAGGCGACCACATCCCCCGGCTCCGTCTCACAGATGTAGGCTGGCACATCACAGACATTGTGCATAGATTCGCCTATATTCCGGTGGATTTCATCATGGAAGGGTCTCCGATGCGAACCCGGAATGAACCGTAGCGCACCGTCGTTCGCTCGCAAAGGTTGCAGGTAAAAAGCAAATTTGAAACCGTGTACATGGAAGTCAGATGCGTCGGGATGCCAGTGCGTATTGTTCACAAAACTGCCGGCATTGCAAGAGAGTCCAATGGCATCTTCCCCATAAAGTTGCTCCGCTGTGCCGCAGATGCGGGGGTCCTCCGGCAACCCAGCTAGAAAGGGTGTCTCGGGTCCCAAATTGGGCCAACTCATATATGCAGGACCATCATCGGGTGACGTATACCGTTTCGTAGACGAGAGTCTCAACTCAACTTCAGCGTTGATGGTTTTCAGTTCATCCGGATTGAACAACTGCCGGAAAATTAGGAATCCGAAGGTATTAAAGTGGCTAACCTGTTGTTCTGTGAGCATGATGCGCCTCCTGTATCGAAAGGTTTTTACTTTTCTTTTTCGCTTCGCTCGTCGAGATAACGTTTCAGAACCAGCACTGCAACTTCAAAGCGTTGGCTCAACTCAAACCACAACATTCGCCAGTCGGTTGGGCACAACGATGAACTTCCTCACCGTTTTGCCTTCAATATGCTTTTGAATGCGCTCATCTGCAAGGACAGCTGTCTCAACATCCTCATTACTTGAATCCACAGGAAGTTGGATTCGGCTGCGTAATTTTCCGTTGACTTGAACGACGATGGTAACTTCCTCACGCTTGAGTACTTCCGGATCGTGGGTGGGCCAAGGTGCGTGAGCGATTAATTCGGTTTCCCCGAACCGCTCCCAAATCTCCTCAGCGATGTGTGGCGCGTAGGGAGCAAGTAGTCGTAAGAACGTCTTCATCGTTTCTTTCGGCACCGTTGTCGCCTGTGTCGCAACATTGACAAACACCATCATGTGGCTGATAGCGGTATTCATCTTGTCAATCGATTCTGTATCCTCAGTGACATCCTTGATAGCCTGGTTTATCGCCTTCCACAACTCCAGATCACTATCAACAGGCGCATCGGTCAGTTTACTGGTCAGCTCGCCGGTGTCCTCGTCAATCGTCAGGCGCCACACCCGCTGCAGGAATCGATAAACACCTTCCACGCCACGCGTCTGCCACGGTGCACTGACGCTCAAGGGACCGATAAACAGTTCATAGAGACGCAGGGCGTCCGCCCCATACTGATCGATGACCTCCTCCGGCGTTACGACATTGAAGCGAGATTTTGACATCTTTTCAATCTGTGTATTTCGCCCGCATTCCGGACGCCTTGACGAACCATTCTCCATCCCGCTCCTCTACCTCACTTGGCAAGTAATATTTGCCGTTATCATCCTGATAAGAATAGGCGAGGATCATGCCTGATTGAAGAGTTTTTGAAATGGCTCCTTTGTGGAGACAAGGCCACAATCATATAGCACTTGTGCCAAAAGCGTGCATAGAGTAGGTGTAGGACAGCGTGCTCTGCACCGCCGACATAAAGATCAACAGGCATCCAATAGTGCTCTGCTTCGGCAGACCACGCTTCGGTTGCGTTGTGAGCATCCATATATCGCAGATAATACCAACAAGATCCCGCCCACTGGGGCATTGTATTTGTTTCCCGCACTCCTTTCCGTCCGTCCGGCAGTGTGATCATCAGCCAGTCATCCGAGGCGCGGGCAAGGGGTGGTTTGCCATCGGGGGTCGGCTTATACTCATCAATAGGCGGTAATTCCACCGGAAGTTCGCTCTCAGGTACGGACATAATCGTACCATCTTCCAGCTGCACAGTGGGAAATGGTTCTCCCCAATAACGTTGACGCGAGAACAGCCAATCGCGCAAGCGGTACTGTACTTGCGCTTTCCCTTTCCCTTTACTTTCAAGCCATTCAGTCATCCGTTCCTTTGAATCCTGAATATTAAGCCCATTCAGGAAACCGCTATTAATCGATGGGCCATCGCCGAGGTAAGGTTCGTCCCCGAAATCACTCGGCGGCTGCACCGTGCGAACGATCGGCAGATCAAATGTTTTAGCAAACTCCCAGTCGCGATCATCCTCAGCGGGAACTGCCATAATCGCACCTGTACCATAACCCATCAGCACGTAATCGGCAACCCAAATTGGAACCGCTTTGTCATTAGCTGGATTAATCGCGTAAGCACCCGTAAAAACGCCAGTTTTTTCCTTAGCGAGATCTGTTCGCTGCAGATCGGTTTTGTTCCTTGCCTCGTCAACGTAAGCCTGCACAGCAGACCTCTGCGCATCGGTCGTCATCTGTTCAACCAACGGATGCTCCGGTGCAAAGACGCAGTACGTTGCGCCAAACAGCGTATCCGGTCGCGTTGTGAAAACGGTAAATGAAGCGTCGGTGTCCTTAATCGCAAAATCGACCTCCACCCCCTCCGATTTCCCAATCCAATTCCGCTGCATCTCCTTGATGCCTTCGGGCCAATCTACCTCTTCAATATCCTTTAGGAGTCGGTCTGCATACGCAGTAATCTTGAGCATCCACTGTCGCATCAACCGGCGTTCAACGGGATCGCCGGTTTCGACATACTTTCCATCCTTGACCTCCTCGTTAGAGAGAACCGTCCCCAATGCCGGACACCAGTTTACAGGCACATCAGCGAGGTATGCTAACCCCTTCTCGTAGAGTTTGAGGAAAATCCATTGTGTCCATTTGTAGTAATCAGGCGACGAGGTGCTTATCTCCCTATCCCAATCATACGAGAAACCGATCTGTTTAATCTGCTGCCGAAATTTGTCGATGTTGCGTCGTGTGACGATAGCGGGATGAATATTCTCCCGCTCGGCGGTACGTTCGATGGTTAGCCCAAACGAGTCCCAGCCCATTGGGTGCAGTACATTATAGCCCTGCATACGTCTCATACGCGCCAGCACATCGGTAGCCGTGTAACCTTCGGGGTGTCCAATATGGAGCCCTGCGCCGGAGGTGTAAGGAAACATATCAAGGATATAATATTTCGGTTTTCCTTCCCACGCCTTGGGGTCGTCAGGTGTACGAAACGCCTTACGTTCCTCCCAAATGTTTTGCCACTTCGACTCGATGGCTGCAGGGTCATAAGTATGTTTTTGCATCTAAAATCTCCTCAAGTTGTCTTATTCAGAACAGAGGTATTTCTTGGGGTACAACGTCTTTACGCTGTTTTGTGGTGATTCAAGTTCGCTTTGTCAAATTATACTGAACTGATTGATAAAATGCAACGCTGTCTCTCCTATAAATTTACATAAGGACTAGGGAATCAATGGGCGTTACCTATAACCCTCCGGATACAATCAATAAGATAAATAAAAAGCCCACCATCGAAAGCAATTCGATGGTGGGCTATCAGTCAAGGGATTAAAAGTAAGTTTAAGTTCACATTAATCCGGTGCACCACCGCCCACCACACGCAGCAAAGCCAAAGCGAGACGCAATCGCAATAAAGCCAGATCCAGATATCTGTCAATTGAAAAAGAAAAAGGATTGCTGATAAGCTGTGGATGGCACATTGATTTAATCTCCTAAATATCCTGTCTTGGGTGATAGTCAACACTTAATCAATGTTTGCATTTACGCAGACGATATCTGTCCCATCGGGAATTAACTTTACCACATCCCTGCCGCAGAAGTCAAGCCTCAATTCCCCCGTGAGCGGGTCAGGAATTGGAAAGCTCAATTTTCAGATGATAACGTTTAATTCACATCATATCTACGCTTGGAGCAGCTCTATGCTCACACCGTCCGGAGCATTAAGATAGGCGATGCTGCCTCCCCAAGTGCTCCCGATTGAATCATGGGGCTCGATAGAGAAGGTAGCCCCCTTTTCCTTGAGACTGTTACAGAATTCGGTGAGGTCTCCATGTACACGGAAGGCAAAGTGATCCATGCCCCACTCATTGTGGCTAGCAAAATCCCCGAAAGATTGTATACTGTTTGTCCCCTCCGGATTCTCGCCCGGTCTCCGTCCACGGATAAGGACGGTTATCCCCTCGAAAACAACGGCAATTTGAGGGGCACCACGGAGTTCGTACGCCTCGGCGATTTCGCCACCCAGCATGTCCGCGTACCAAGCGGCAGCGGATTGCGGATCCTCACTGATGATGTGTATGTGCTCAAAAACGAGGCCGGTCTCAGCCATAACGGTTTTCCTTTCCTGCCCCTCCTACTCTCAATGCGATTGGGACGTTGACAAGCATCCATTCGTTCGGATTGGATTGAAAGGGTTACGTGAGGTTTCTGGCCGAACGATCAGCGATGGCTTCCTCGCCCAAGTGCTCCCGCATCCATTCACGAAGCGGAACATCTTCGTTCTTCGGTGTCGTTAGACCTAAGTTTCCAGTTTTCGATCCGAGCAACTGTCGCTGAATCGGATCACACCGATCCATGTAACAAGAGACAGTCATCTCATCTCTTGGATGGAACCATCGGAGACTGTATCCGACGAAGAGCACCTTTCGCGTAATATCCGAGAAATTCCATCCACCCGCATGCCAAATCCGACGATCGAAGATGACCGCGGTGCCCGCAGGAACACGAACTTCAAGTGCCTCTGGTGGATTTGAAATGCCATCGGCGGGATATTCAACCTCATCTTTCAAATGACTGCCGGGGATAACGCTAAAGTTACCGCGTCCTCCTTCGGAAACATCGGTCAAGAAATAACCTACCTTGACGGAGATGCGCGGTGCGGGTATCGTCTCAATGTCCAAATTCACGCGCCCACTGTCCTGATGCCAGTGAAGTCGCTCCTTTGAGGGGCGATCTTCCAACGGCACCGGCGGTGTCACCGTGATATGCGTGTGATACAGATGGATGTTCCAACCGAGGATTCCCCAACTTTGGGCAAGGTTCGATGCCAATCAATCAGCTCCAAGAATCGATCGTGTTTCCCTATGAAATCCACACTGGGCTTTACGCTGTCTACCGCTTCGATAAGTCCTTGACCATTACGGCTGGCAGGGCATTATCGACCACAACGAATCCGTCTCGTTCAAACTTGGTACGCTCTGCCTCTGTCAAGCAGTGTTCCAAACATGCAGTATCCATGATGAACCTCCTTATTCGATTGGTGCAACAAGGGCAAATCACTGAGCATGGTTGCGCCCAAATGTTACTGAAGGCGCACCGATAATGCGGGCGTATTTATCAGTAACAACCGCTTCACCCACATGCTCCTGAATCCAGAAACGAAGGGGCACGTCCTCTTCCCTAGGCGACGAGGTTCCCATCGCACTCGTCGTTGCGCCGAGCAGCTGTCTGCGGATTGGATCCGAACGTTCCATAACATGCGCGACCGTTCTCTCATCTCTCGGATGGATCCAGCGATGGCTGTAACCAACGAACAAAACCCTTCGCGTCATGTCGGACAAGTTCCAGCCTCGTGCGTGAAAGAGCCGCCGATCGAAAATGACTGCCGTCCCCGCCGGCACTCGAATCTCTATCGCTTCCTCGGGATCCGAGACCCCATCGTTAGGCAATTCAATTTCCCTTTTGAGGTGACTCCCCGGAATCACACTGAAGTTGCCGTGACCGCCCTTTGTAAGGTCCGTCAAGAAATAACCCACCTTCACAGAGATACGTGGCTGCGGGCCCGGTTCGATATCGGCGTTTATACGGTCACTGTCTTGATGCCAACCTCGCCTTCGGTCTGTACGTTTCTGTTCTTCATCCTCCGGAGGCGTGACGATGATCTGCGTATAATAAGAATGGATGTTCCACCCTAGAATGCCCCATACTTTCGGAAAGGTCCTGTGCCAATCAATCAGTTCCAGGAGTAGATCGTCTTTCCCCAAGAAATCGTCGCCAGGTCCAAGCCGGTCTACTGCTTTGATGAGCCCCTCGACCATTGAAGTCGGCAGGGCGTTATCAATCACAACGAATCCGTCCCGCTCAAATTGGACGCGTTCTTCCTCTGTCAGAAGGTGCTGCAAGCATTCGACATCCATGGTAACCTCCTCATAAACATGTGACACAATGTAATAAGAGACTTGTTCCGACGTTTTACTCTTGACAACTCAACAACAGTCGCTGTGCCAAGCCAGAGGTGAAAGTCATATTGAATCAGTGGTTTCAACTCTCATATTTGATACCGTTCCACATCGGCAGCTTCGACAAGATCCTCACTCAGAGAGACGTTCAATTTTCCCGCCCACTCCTGAAGTTGGCTATAGATGGTATCGGGAACGTTAATACCGTCAGCGAGCCGCTGAGATCGAGAACGGTATTCAAAGTCGCCCGGAACTAGCACTTCATCAAAGCCGGGTGCAGGTGGTATGGACTTAATACCATCGAGAAACGCACGGACGCCCTGCTGATATGGCTCCAACGGCGTAAATGCGTCGATGTTGATGACCTGCATTAACGTGCTGCTCCCCATGGAAGCATTCTCAACATCAAACGTGCCAGACAGACCAGCCAACAGGCATGTGAGGAGGGAGAAGGCATATCCTTTATGCGCCCCGAACGTTAACAGAGATCCACCATCGCTAAAATCCGCCGTTTTGACACTAGGATTGCCGTGCTTATCCACAATACAACCCTCTGGTAGGTCAACACCCAAGCTTTGAGCGACCGAGATTTTGCCGCCAGCAATCATACTCGTAGCAAAATCAATGACGAAAGGACTATTGTCCCCAGTTGGCACACCGACCGCAATCGGATTGGTGCCCAATCCTCCATGCGCACCCCCGAAAGGCACGGTGCCGCCTCTGCCCCTCGAACCGCCGCCAAAGGTGATGATGCCGATACACCCCGCCCGTGCTGCTGCTTCCGCATACTCACCGAGTCGTCCGATATGCCCAGTGTTGACAAAACTCACAGCGCAGTTATCCGCATCCTTTGCCTTCTCAATTGCCCGCTCCATCGCCCGTCGAGCGGTGTAGTGTCCAAAACCGCTCCTCCCATCAATACGGAAGTGTTGGCGGTTTCGTTGGACGTCTCCGGTTCAGCGGCAGGCTGAATCCCACCATTTGAGATACTGCCCAGATAGTCGGGGAGGCGGAGCACACCGTGCGAGTCGTGCCCGGCGAGATTGGCGTTGCTTAAGATTTCTGCGACATCCTCAGCGATGTGATGCGGTGTATCCGCCCCCATAAGCAGTTGCCGTATCACTGCATGCAGATGGCTTGCGTTGAAACAGTGCATTCTGCATAATGCTTCTGACCAGTCTCCTTCTCCGTTATCGCGCGGTGAGAATGAACTGCGTTAATCCTATATAAATATCATACACAAGAATCAGTGCTGTCAACACGCCATGCTCATGAAATTAGAACGATTCACGCATGATATTGGTTTCAGAGAATGGAACTTGTACTAAAAGCCTGTATGTCAACAGCTATAGAGATGAGCAAAATGTTGAAGCCTCACCTGCTTTGTAAACCTCTATCAATTCTCGATTTTTGTTCTAAATCTCTCACAGTTTTGATATAATTTTTGTGTGACTATGTCCTCCACAACTGCGCCCAAGATTTTGGAACCGTTGGAGACTACTATGAATGCACCAGATGGAATGGCACTACGCAATAACCATCAGTCACGATCACATTGAGGCAATCAACCGGCAGCGTCGAATCATCTTCCAAGACGATGTGTTGGCTAACGATGTGTTCAGGACTGAGGAGGTTGGGACAGAACGGCTAGATAAGATTATCGACTTCTACATGAGTCGTCTTGATGAACAACCCAACCAGATCGACAGCATTTGGTTTGAATGGGGGGAAGGGAACACGGCGGTTTGGCCCAGTGAGCTGCTACCCTGCACGGAAAACGTCTTTCCGAGATGGTGGGAAGCCGGTATTGATCCGGTGGAGGTTCTCTTGACCGAGGCAAAGAAACGCGGTCGAGAGGTTTTCTTTTCGTACCGTATCAACGGATCGGACAACGACGACCTGTTCGATCCGCCTCGTCCGTTTGATCAGCCGATTCCGTTAAAAGCGGAATACCCAGATTGGCTAATCTACAAATGGCACCCCTACTGGAATTTTTCCTTTCAGGGGGTTCGTGATCTGAAGCTGAACGTCGTGCGGGAAGTGGCGGAGATGTACGACTTCGACGGTATCCAGATCGATTTCGCACGCATCCCGGTGTTGTTCCCGGAGGAACAATGGTTGCACCGTGATATATTGACCGATTTTATGCGCGATATACGCACCACGTTGCTCGGCATTGAGAAAAAACGTGGACGACCATTGTTGTTGGCAGGCCCGAGTGCCGGAAGATCTCATGGGGTGCCATTTTGACGGCATGGACATGGAGGCATGGGTGCGGGACTTTCTGGTCGATATCCTCGTAGTCGGTACGCGGACAGCGAATGCGGACGTCACTGCCTTTCACCATATCACCAAGGGCACCCCCATCAAACTTTACCCAAGCTTTGACGACCATCACTCCACCGATGGGTATAGGGAGCCGGACCTCGAAATCTGGCGTGGTGCCTGCGCCAACTGGTGGCGTCAAAACCCTGATGGTATGCACACTTTCAATTTAATGGTGTCATCCCCGCAATCGGCACAAAATCTCGGCTATCAGTCCCTCCCCCAGGTGGGAAACCCAACGCAAAATCTTCAGCGAAATCGGCAGTTCCGACACGCTAAAAGGGGTGGACAAAGTGTTTTTCGTCGAACGACGTGGAGGTGGACACGCTGAACACGTCGTGCCATCGCCGCGAACTGGAACACCCCTAGGCACATGTATTTCCAGACCAACATGCTGGCAGCCTTGCCCGCAGCGTTGGCGGATGACGGTGGGGAGGACACGCTGCTCACCCTGAACGTGGCAGATGATGTGAACGCCAGCGTCAGCAGAAATCGATCAGATAACGCTGCAAATCGCTATCTCCGATGGAGCCGGTGAGGCTTTGTCTACGGAAGAAAGACTTGAGGAGATTGGATCACGGGTTGAGGTAAGACTGAACAATATATTGCTTGACATCCCTCGCACTGAGGCAGTAGAGACCTCGAAGGGAGATGCTTTCAAGAACTGGCTGATTTTCACCGTAGCACCACGCTATCTTGCGGTGGGTGCAAATCTTGTCGGTGTAAAGTTGAGCCAACGACTACCCGCTGTTTTCGGTCGTATCCAGATCGAAAAACTTGAACTACATATCCGCTACAGGTAGTTGCCACTACCGAGAAGCCATCGTCGATATGTGAATGGATAGATGAGGGACTTGGGTTGAGCTAGAAAGCAAAACTTGAGACTTTTCACATACAGATTGCCAAATGAGGGAATTATGACCACGACTGAATTACTGCACGCCGCGAGCGACTGCTGGGCACAGGGACGCCGCTTTTCTACCAAGAGGCAGTAAACATCGTGCGTGGAGAAGGGGTGTGGCTGTTTGACCCCGATGGGACGTCGCTACCTTGATATGTACAACAATGTGCCGTGTGTAGGGCACTGCCACCCGCACGTGGTCGAGGCAATGCACCGGCAGGCGAGCACGCTCAACGTCCACAGCCGCTATTTGCACGAAGGCGTCCTCGACTACGCCGAACACCTGACCAACCAGCACGCTGAAGAATTGGCGAGTGTCGTGTTCACCTGCACCGGAACAGAAGCCAACGAAGTCGCCATGAGTATGGCGCGTATTGCAACCGGCGGACGGGGATCATCTGCACCGACGCCTGCGTACCACGGTAACAGTGCAGAGGTTGGTCAAACTCACACGCGCTAGAGATGGAGATCCTGAGATCCGCGCTATCCCGTATCCAGCAGCGTTACCGTCCATTGCGAGAAGAGGTGTCCGAATCCGAACTGACAGATCTCTACCTTTCAGAAGTCCGCACAGCGATCGATAGTTTTGCCGCTAACAATGTCCCCTCGCGGGCATGTTAGTTGTCCTATTCTCGCCAACGAAGGTTTGCCCGACATCCCGGACGGTTTTATGCCGCAAGCTGCCGAAATGGTTCGCGATGCAGGCGGTCTGTTCATCGCCGACGAAGTGCAGGCAGGCTTCTGCCGGACCGGCAGTGGTGGGGTTACGAGGTGATGGACTTTCGTTCCGGACATTGTCACAATGGGCAAGCCGATGGGGCAACGGACTGCCTCTGGCTGCGACTGTTGCGAGGACGGAGCTGGTGGATGCCTTCCGCGAGCGGAAACGTTACTCAACACATTTGCTTCCAGCCCGTTACAGGCAGCGGTAGGTATGGCGGTGATAGAGGTAATCGAAACCGAAAATCTGCGGCAGAACGTCGCCCATGTCGGCAACTACTGCGCGCCCAACTGACCAAGACTCCAACCAGCACTGCCCACCCATGGCAGAGGTTCGTGGGCACGGTTTGTTCATCGGGCTTGGAGTGGGTGAGCGACCACGATGCCAAAACCCTGACCGTGACGGTGCCACGGTATTCGTCAATCGCCTGAAGGAGAAGGGCTTCCTCATCGGCAGTGCCGGGGCATTGGGCAATGTTCTCAAGATTCGCCCTCCGCTGGTATTTGCTCGTGAACACGCGGATCTATTCCTCACTGCGTTTGCAGAGATTGTGGAGGAGATTTATGGCAAACGGCACTTGACCGTGCTACGCTGCGGGCAATCGCCGAGCGAGCGTTGGACGAGTGGGACATCTGCGCCGTAGGGCTAGAGTGATCTCTATCTCTGAAAACACCGTGTTTCGCCTTGATACAGACGCCGGCGAAACCTATGTCCTTCGTATCCACCGACCCGGGCTATCATACTCTCGCGGAACTGAACTCCGAGCAGCAGTGGACAGCCGCGCTGAAACGAGCGGGCATAGGTGTGCCGCTACCACGATTGACCCGCGAGGGGCATGGCTATGCGACGTTTCTGTGCCCGGATCAACAGAGACCCGACACGTTGGAATCGTCGAATGGTTTGAAGGGGTAACGCTTTCGAGCATCATGACACAGGCACCTGATATGCAGACCTTGGCGTTGCACTTCGACCAACTTGGACGCATCGCCGCCAAAATCCACAATCAGGCAGTCAGTTGGCAGATTCCGGAGGGCTTTCAACGACACGCCTTTGATGCTGACGGCTTGATGGGCGAAGTACCTTTCTGGGGGCCCTTCTGGGTTCTACCAGAACTGAAGGCGGCAGAGCGGGATCATATTCTCAATGCCCGTCGTGCCATCCATCGCACCTTATCCGATTACGGCAAAGGGGGTGGGATCTATAGCCTAATCCATGCAGATCTGCACCCCCATAACCTGCTTGTCAACGGCGACCAATTGCACGTGATCGACTTCGACGACGCCGGTTTCGGCTGGCACCAGTACGAAATTGCCGTTGCGCTCGATGCCTATCGGAAGCCCCCTCATTTTGAGGTAGCCCGCGACGCACTAATTGCAGGCTACCGATCAGAACGCACCCTCTCCGACGCGGCTATTGAGTTACTGCCTATGTTTCTGTTAATCCGCTCACTAGCACTGTTGGGTTGGCTTCATGAACGACCTGAACATAACAGAGGCGATCGGGTGCGGAATCTGATTCAGTCCGCTTGCAGGCAAGCGGAAGCACTAGGGATATAGCACCGGTTCAAGAGTGTGCAAATTCGTCCCCGTTTTCTCGCGGCTCATGTCAAAAGACAGTGCAAGGCACAAAAAGCGTGAAACGTGATGCGTGAAACGTGATGCGTGAAACGGAAAAATATTTGTTCATTGGTGTGGTCGGGCTAGGAAGCCCAACCTACGGGGCTGGAAAACAGTGCAACGCGCAAACAGAAACCGAGTAGTAGTAAGGAACAACGATCGTTGTTCCCTACGGTTTCTGTTGCACGATTTCTTAACATGAATCTTTCACGCCAATTTGGAGACTGATACCGGCATCTATGGCTGGTACGGTTTTCCGGTGCGGCGCAATTCTTTGGTTATAGCTAATTGGCAGGTCAGGTAGCCGCCCATGTAGCCGGTGGCGAATCCGGGGCGCGCATCCGCTATCGTACCAACAATCATATTGGCGTATTCCACACTGGTGTCGTAACGATCGACAATCAGTGCCACCATTTCGGTCCAAGCAGATCTAAGCACCTCTGCCCAACTGTCTCCTATGGCACTGGTGAGGTACTCCTCGGCACTTTCGACTACACGGGTGGTTTCCACCACTGGACTACTGTTGGGAAAACCGGGTGAGCGGTCAACCTTGAGGGTGATGGCTGAGTCAATTTCGACTCCAGCACCGGTCAATTCACCGTCTCCCATACGGGCATGGACATCACCGAGGGAGAGAAAGCCGCCGGGCTTCTGGGCGCGAATATGTACTGTGCTGCCGGGCTGGATGGCGTTGAAATCCATATTGCCGCCGTGGTCTAACCCACTGGGAGCCCACGATGCGAGCTGAACAACCCCGATCATCGGTCTCACCGGCACAACGAAGTCGGGCGGAAAATGGATGAGTCCATCGCGCACCGGGGCTACACAGCGCCAATTGCCCCAATTGGGACCGCCATTGCGATAGAAGCCGTAGGGTGCCACCTCCATGTCGATAATCTCAATGGATACCCACTCGTCCGGCTGAATGCCTTTAATCTCGAAGGGACCACCGGGACGAGAATTGCGCTGATGGCTTTGGCAGAGGTTATCATCCCTGCCTTGGTTTCACCGGCAGCTTCATAGTCGTTATCCGCGCCACCTACAGTTTCGATGATAACGGTTTCTCCTAGTTCAAGTACACCCCGGACCTGTCCAATTTCGGGATCATCGGGACCACTGTAACAGGGAGTTCGGTTAAAACGACGCATAACATCTTCTCCTTTTATATGTTATACTGCTTTTGGTTAGCAATACTATTTTGACACTGTTTTGTCATATTTCGGATTAGCGAGGAAACACAATGACCCTCACAATTAGGAAACTGGAAGAACATATCGGGGCAGAAGTTCGAGGCGTTGACATCACCTCGCCCATTGATGCCGAGACATTTGAACAACTTCGCCATGTGCTTTGCGAATACGCGGTGCTCGTATTCCATGATCAGGACATCACCGACAAACAACATGTTGCTTTTAGTAAAGGGTTTGGCCCAATCGAACTGACGATGGCAAACGACCCCATCGGGGACGGAGGACCCATCGGGATCATTTCCAACCTCGATGAAAACGGCGAAATCATTCCGCCGGGGGATTCGCGGACGCTTTATACTGTCGCCAACACACTCTGGCACTCCGATGGCTCATTCAAGCGCGTGCCCTTGCGCGGCTCGCTGCTCTCTGCCAAGATCATACCGCCCGCAGGTGGCGAAACCGAATTTGCCAGTCTCCCGCCGCCTATGAGGCTCTACCCAAGCAGAAGAAGGCGGATATAGAGGAACTGATTGCCGAGCATAGCATTGCACACTCACGGACGCAGATTGCTCCGAACCTGATGGACGAAGCGTTCCAGAAAAACACACCTCCGGCCAATCAACGCTTGGTACGTACCCTCCCCGAAACCGGAAAGAAGGCACTTTTGGTTGGCTCATACACGACCCGTATTCATGGCTTGCCAATCGAGGAGGGCAAAGCGTTGTTGAAGGAGCTGCTCGAATGGTCAACACAGCCGCAGTTTGTGTATCGCCACACATGGCGGGTGAATGATTCGTTGTGTATGACAACCGTTGCTGCTTGCACCGGGGACGGGCTTGGGATCGCGGAAAGTACAAGCGCGTGCTTCACCGCACAACCTTAGCCGGTGAAGGTCCCACCGTCTAATGAAGTCAGACCAAAGTGGCATCTCACGTAGAACGTTGAGGTTCAATTTGAATCTCGGAGCGTACAATCCGATTACCACCCTCCTGATAGGCGTCAAACGTTCCCTCCTGATAGACGATTCGGAAACGGTCATCGGCTAACGCTTGGAGGTTGCTGTATCCTGAAGTTTGACCTTCATAGAGCACTAAAGGCTTTGACCATTGGCGTCCTGCCCCATCCCAACTTGCCATGATATGCACATATCTCCGGGTGCCGTAGCTGCACACCAAGACGCCGTTTTCAGCAGCAGCACTTGAGGACAAACGCCGGGGAGAGAAAGCCTGCGCGGGGGACTCCAAGTCAGTCCGCCATCAGATGACCGTACCTCCACCATTGGCCGAGATGGTTGTGTCCCACACCGAATCAAGGCAAGGAGCTCTCCGGAGGGCAGTAGCACCAACCCTGGTTCACGCCGCTCGCCGACAGTGTTATCCGCGCACACATTTGCAAGCCACTCAAAGCTTGTCCACCGTCTATAGATTGGACAACCCCAGAAATCGTATTTCCCTCACGGCTGTAAGTGGGCCATAGCAATCGTCCATCGGGCATCTCAACGACGTGTCCCCAAAGTGAGATTAGTTGACTGCCCAAGCTGAAAGGCAGGTTACTGACCGGCACATCATGTCGGGTCCAGGTCGCTCCCTCGTCCTGTGAACGCAGAATAATCGCCGTGCCTTCAAGCGTACTGCTGGAGGACTGATAAAGTTTTGCCATTCGGCAGCGGTAACTGATAAGACTGCCATTCTTCAGACGCGTAACAAAGAACTGACGCAGCAAAGGCTCGACATACATTCCCAGCCATGGAAGCCATGTGAGTCCTCTATCTCTTGATTGGAGACACTGGACACGATTGCCGGGACCGAACCTTGACTCCAAGTGTGGACCTTCCCGGTAGGTCATGTACCAGTTCCCGCTATCGGACTCGTATAAAAAGGGAAAGTGTAACTGCTCGTCCGGGATACCGTACAGTCCTGGATTTGATAGCAGCACATCGCGTCTGACGAGCTCAATCGCCCCTTCCGCACCGTTCTCATCGGATTCCCCTTCTAAGCCTCTACACGTTTACGCCTATTCTGAAAAGATGCGAGAGCCATTTTACCTATTTTCTACATCCTCGTCAATAAAAATCTCGGACTGATTAGGGGAATCGCATCTGTTATATATGGACTCTGCAGTATATTCAATCAGAAGGTTGGGCTAATCCTCATCGTAACGCAGGTTTCCTAACCCCTATTTCATTGCGGGCAGGTTGGAGCGCAGCAGAAATCCCGCCTGTCCCGATTTATCGGGGATCCATCGGGGCTCTGTGCCTACGAATAGTGTTAGCTGATACTTCCCCAAAGTCCAACTTTTGGCTTGACAAGAAAATCGTTTTCCTGTATTTTCTACACTAGCGTACATAATTTTTAACGATCCCATCCGGTATATAAAAAAACATCTGGAGGTATACAACATGGTCTTTGGCACAGGTAAATATAGATACACAGTCGCAGAAAATTTGGGGGGGGGGGGGGGGGGGGGGGGGGGGAGGGTGGGGGGGGCGTTTTCCTTTTTTTTTGGTTTTTCTCTTTTTGTGTGTTGTTTGTTTTTTGGTTTTTTTTTTTCATTTTTTTCTTTTTTTTTTTTTTCTTTTTTTTTTTTTTTTTTTTTTCTTTTTTTTGTTTTTCTTTTTTTTTTTTCGTTGTCCTTTCTTTTCTCATTTTTTTCTTTTTTTTGTTTTGTTTTTTTTTTTTTTTTTCGTTTCTTGGTTGTTTTTGTTTGGTTGTGGGTGGGTGGTTTTTGGTTGTTTGTTTGGTTTTTTGGTTGTGTTTTTTGGGTGTGGGTTTTCGTTGTTTTTTGCCTGTTTGAGGCTTTGGGGTGTTGTTTTTTTTTGGTGGTGTTTTTTTGTGGTTTTTTGTGGTGTTTTGTTTTTGTTTTTGTTGTCTGCCTTTATTGTTTTGTTGCTTGTGCTGGTTTTTTTTTTGTTTGTGGATTTTTGTTCTTTTTGTGTGGTGGTCGTTTGTTTTGTGGTTTTGGTCCCCCCCTCCCCACCTCCCCCCCCCCGCACCGGAAAAAAAAACGTCCCGATGTTGGAAGTTTGGTGGAAATTCCAGCGGTAGCAACCGATTCGCAAGATCGAGTTTTTGTTTATTCCGTAAGTGAAAACCCGCTGGCGGTTTTCGATCGGGACGGTAATTTCTTGGAGACGTGGTGGGTGCAAACGGGGGTTCTCCCAACTGAAGCGGCACACGGCATCTACATTGACGACGAAGACAATGTGTATTGCACAGACAATGACAACCATTGTGTCTTCAAATTCAATCGAAATGGCAAATTAGCGATGACGCTGGGTACGCCCGGCGAGGCTGCCCCGGCGGACGGCGATCCATTTAATTCTCCAACCGATCTGGCAATTGCCTCAACCGGCGAGTTGTTCATCTCAGATGGTTACGGCAACGCACGCGTCCACAAGTATTCACCCGATGGAGAATTGTTGTTGTCGTGGGGGGAACGTGGCACGGGACCTGGTCAGTTCGCCTTGTCACACGGCGTCCGCATAGACAGAGAGGATCGCGTTTGGATCTGCGACCGTTCAAATAATCGTCTCCAGATCTTCGATACCAACGGGAATTATTTGACCGAATGGAGGGATGTGCCAGAGCCGATACAATCTACTTCGACCCCAACGATGATGTAGTTTATGTCGCTGGGTTAGATCATGAGTTCCTCATCTATACGTTAGATGGCGATCTGATTACGCGATGGGGCGGTGCAGAATCGAGTGAAGTCCGAGTTGAGTTTCCCTCGGCGGGATGCACACGAGTCCTCATGATGGATTCGCAGGCGAATCTCTATAACAGGGGCGATAGATGTTGGGTGAACACAGCTCGGATGGCACGACGTTCAATCCGTCAAAAAACCTAAGCCAGGTACGGTGACAATCGCTTGAGCATAGGCGGAATTGAGGGAGAAACTGCTATGAGTACAATGAAAGCAGCAATTTCTATACCGGTATCGAACAGATAGGTATCCAAGAGGTCGAGAAAAAGTTTCCTGCACCGGGGTATGTTACCATCGACACCAAGTGCAACAGGTATCTTCGCACGATCTCCTAGCTATTTTGGCCACTGGGATTCAATCGACACCTCGCCAGGGTCATGAAACGTGCGGGATTGTTGTTGAACTTGGCGAAGGTGTTACGACACTCCAACCGGGCGATAAGGTCCACCATTGGACTGGTTTCTCCAACTGTGGGAATTGCGTTTATTGTCTGAATGGGTGGGGGGCCACATAACCACTGTCTGGAACGCAAATGGGTTTCGCAAAATACACACGGCGGCTTTTCGGAGTATACCACC